TCCCCACATTCGAAACTAAAAAAAATATATATTTGTCATTGACAAGATGAAGTGCACGTACTGCCACTGAAATGGTTTTAAATATTAGCCCATACCCCGAGGGTGGGCCTGTGGGGTTTTTTTTTGCCAGTATTTGTGTTACAAAGGTTGAAAACCACTGCTGTACACCAGCCTGTAATCATATTCAGATTTTTAAAAAAATCTAGTGGATGCCTTGCTCTCTTGACCGTCAAGCTACAAAAGCAACATTTATTTTAATCACCAACCCTTCGGTTTCTAATTTGTTTTCTGCTGCCTACCCTTGTTTTCCAGTCTGTGCCCGGTTTTGCCGCCTGGATCGATTTTCCCTTCTTTAACCATTTGTGACCTGAATTTTTTGTTTGTGTAAGTAGTGCTCCTATATTGCCAGATGCATTCCACATCATGCTCTGTTAGGGACCGACTCTGGCCTCGATTCTGCAGCCTGGCGTCGTTTCTCACTTGAAATCTTCCCTTTCTCCTCTTTGAAACCCAGCTTCAGAATCCATAGTCCTTTTGTACTGGCAGGACTTTCAAGCTGCACCAAATCAGAGTTAATCCTCAGTTTCTCCCTCTTCCTTCCAGACTTTGCATTGCACTCCAGTCGCTGCTCTGTGCCTTCTATATCACTCATTCTCGGCCCCCCTCCCCCCACACCAGACTGATGCTTCTCCTCCTGTTATCCGTTTTTCACATTTTCTGCGCAAGTGATTTACTTCCTGAAACATCAGCGCCTCACTCAGTCTCTTGGTGCCCAGTCCACACTCTCTAGAGGAAAAGAAATGGCCGTCGCTTGATTGGTGGTAACAAAGGACAGCTCAAGTTCATGCCACTTCGCTGTAGAAGAGACAGGAGCCAAACAGCTGCTCAGCTAAAGCAGTGCCTTGGCTGTCCAAGAAGCAAGAAATAAAAGTAATGTTGCGTTCATAAATTTTTAACATGCTGCTGTTTCATAAACAAATTTCCATCAGACTTATAATGCTGAAAAAAAGTTGTGCTACAACATCAGATATTAAAGTCAAAAACTGAAACATACCACTGGCATAAGTCATAAGTGACTTCATAAGTATCTGATCCCACATAAATATTAGATAGTCACCATATGCTGCAATAACACTCAAACTCAAAATGTGTCCTCAAACTATTGGCTGTTCTTTACTAGTTATTCTAAAATCTTCAACACAGCCTGCACTCTAGACAGTTTTGAAATGCATTCATTTTATTTCATTTCTGTTGGACTTCTTAAGTCCGTCAAAAGCTGAACAGTGGTTGCAGACATGATAAATGCCAGCTACTGCAATTGCATTATACTGAAGGTGATCAGAACTGAAAACCCAGAGCGATCACAAAATACCGGTGCAAAAAGCAGTATGACAAAAGATTCACTCACAACTCATCTGGGTGATTTAATGTTTTCTAAAATAATGCAGGAGTGCCGGGGCTGTCTGTTCCACACAGGAGAGGGGTGGAGTGGAGGCCGACAAGTATATACAAGGGCTCCCTGTGCATTAATGCTCTGCTACAAATCACTCATCATTTCAGGCCACACAGCCTGCTGAGGAGAGCCCTGCGCCAGATCTGCTGCACCTGTAATGGGAAAATAAATCTCTCCCAGCACTATGAAGGCTCCTGCAGGAATGGGAAGCAGAGCTCATTACCCCTGCACCATACAAGCTCTCCGAGGCAGAAGGATCACAGGGGGACAGGCCCGAGCAGAAGCAGGCAGCAAACTGCAGCATGAACGTCTGGCACTTCACAGATTCAGAACGAGCAGCAAGAAACAGCAGAATAACTTCAATATCAAAACTGCAAAGAAATGAAATGGAACAATTAAGAAAAAATGTTTCTGAACAACTCTCCAAACAGAAAACGACGATAAAACATTTTTCAGAGTTTTCTAAAACCAGAAGTCTGTTTTAGTATTGAAATGTAAAAAACTTTCAAGTACAAGTACATATTGCAGTAGTGCCCGAATGGTGCTACACAATTAAAAGGAATATTTGTCAAGGAGCAAAGCACAAGTTCAAAGCGGAGTTTCAGCCTGCTGTATTGAAGAGCCCATAGGGTTAGAAACAGTGGCATCCCAAGTGAGCATCTTTGCTACAAAAAAAATCTTAATTGCAATGTACCCCCACTGCACTTCCTTCTATACAGCTGTGGTTTAATGAAACAGTTTTCAGTTAAAATTAGTTCAACTTTTTTAATCCCTCAGTTCATAAGTTCTTTCAATTGCAACGACAACCTGAAGACCCTTTTATACAGCAGGGGCATATATTTCAGCATTTTGGGTGATGTACCTTAGTCACAGGAGGATTTGAGCCTTTGACCAAGTTCAGAGCCCTAACCCCTGCTCCACAGTGCCAGAGCTTCTCTGTCTGAGCTTTAAGATCTTCTGAGAAGGAGATTTGGGAGCTATTTCAAGCTTAAGTGAGGTCAACTTAATTAACCTCTTCTATAAATAGTCCCGGGAGACTACTACTCCTAAAGAAAAGGTAATCTACTACCTTGTTTGGGTTAGTGATTGACAAACCAGGACACAATCACGCAGATTTAACCTGATCAGTATATTCATGGTGAGGGATAAAAAAAAAAGAATTCCTCCCTAAGGAAAACTCAGATTAATCATAGCCCAGCAGTGGAGCTCTTGGTTTAGTGAGGCAGTTGCTGTACTGTGTGTACCTACAGGACAAGTCAACCGAATCAGCCCTAATCACACTGTCACGGGGAGTCCCACTCCTGAGAGGGAAGACAAACAAATTGCACTTCAAATTCACTACACTTCCAGACCACAAAAATAAGCTCCTGAATAAAGGCATCGACTAATCAGATTAGAAAAGTGTAATTTAGCTATAATTAATTCAGTACTGAAGAAACATTAAAATAACAGAATCCGGATGTTGGTGAAAGAAGAGCTGTTTATTCATGTGTACACGGGAGGGCAGCTTGCAAAAGCTAGGTCTCTCCAAACGGTTATAAAGCACGTACCTACAAACAGTGTGCTCCACAACATCGAAAGCATAAAGGGAATATGAAGAGACAAAAGATATGGACCAATCCTCTGCTCTACTAATAGAAAGCATAGCCAAGATTTCAGATAAAAAATGTTCTGTGAGGTCACAGTCAAGTCACCTTCCCCACTGGCTTGATGAGAACTCGAACTTGTAGGTGCTCCCTGTGGCCACATGATTGGGTAAACCATGTCAGGTTTACTTCATTAACTGCCATTACAATGACTGACCACCAGGTGTCAACTGCGTACCCAGAACTCAACAGGATGAATCTGTTCCCTGGTCTTGCCACGAGCTGAGGCAGTGCTTCTCAACCGTCGAGCAATTCCACAGCACACTCACACAAATATGGAACATACCCCATCCGAGCACTTAATTATAAACCAAACCTATTGTACTGTTTGATCCAAGTCCACAGATGACTGGAATGGACAATGGAGAAACGGAGCTCTTGCTCAGCCACACTCATATTTTTGGCTGTTTTATTAAGTCTGTCTTTTAGGCCTTTAGAAACTGAACTCGCAGCACACATTATTCTTACATCAACAGTCTCAAAGTGCCGCCCCCATCTCGTTCATATACAAAAAGGTACATATGATTTTTTTTCTGATGCATGGCTTTCCCAAAATTCCACAGCAACCCTGTTAACACCTGGAGGCTCACACAAGTTGAGAAACACTGTACAGTACTACTAAGGGACTGTATTTATAAAAAAAGGTTCTAACTTGTTTTTTTTTCCTTTTAAAAATATCAGATGGTTTCAGTAACTCAAGGCGGACGAAGTTCTTACAAAGCCTCTGAAAACATACCAACAAGACCTATTTTCTGGCTGGCGTGAGAATAATATTTCCGAAAAATACGTCGGAGGTAGACCTTTTTCGTTGCGTGCAACCAAATGAAATCTTATCTGCCGTTTTTAATCGAGCCCAGCGTTATGCTTTAAAACGAACTCCAATTTAACATTAAGCACTGCCTTGAGGGAGAAAAATGAGTCGTTCCATTGTGATGCATGCAGTGAAAGCCGAGGAGTTCAAACTACCTGACTGCTGCTCACGAAATCAGACAATTGTACCAGCAAACCATCCATCTTATCCTGCAGGGTCCCCTGCTCCTGCCCGTTCTCACCGAGCTTTATTAATCACATCAATCCTGACACTGACACCCGCTCCCACTCTGTCTGGTCCTCCCTGGGGAGAGCCAGCTGAGGTGTGGCACCGTGCGCGGCCGTTTTTATTACACACTCTCATGTCAGCCGAGGGTACGCTTGAAATCCCTCACCATTCTCTCACGACCTGAACTGGAGATGAACGCTGGGCCCCAGGCGTGACAGGTTTCAACAGTTAGTACATTAGTCTTCCTTTACGCCTGCTCCCCCCCAAAAGAACAACAATATTGGACGGCGCTTGCAACTCCTACAACCTGCTCCAAGCTTCAGCTGTAGTGCTTCAGCACCTCTGGAATACTGCTTAAGCATACAAACGTACAAAACGAATACATTAAATTACATTATTGGGCAAGTATACTCCAGCCAGCAGTGTGGCACTTTACTCAAAGGGTTGTGGGAGTCTGTAACAAGCTACCCATCCACACTCATTTCTTTCAAGAAAGGTCTGAAAGAGATCCTCAGGTCAGTTAACTACTAACTACCAAATGGGCTAGCCGCTTATGCCCCTATAGGCAAATAGCCCCTTCTCATTTGTAATCTTCCTTATTTTCTTCTGGAAGCTCTTACAGTGCTCATCATGCATTTCTGAGGCTCTTTTTCTATAAATATATAAATTCTATATAGAATTCTATTCTATATATAAATATAGAGCTGTGACTCTGCATGAACATGTCAGCAATGATGATTATATCTACAGGCCTGCTGTGTTTTTAAAGAGGAAATAGAAAAACTAACATGTTTAGAATGAAGCAACCAGATGGGGGGTGATAAGAGACTGATAAAAGGCTACAAGGATGAGAGTTGCTTACCTTCTGTGCTGAGTCCAGGACTGGAAGTGAACTTGGCGACGTCCACTATTTTTACAGCAAACTGCTGCCCTGTCTCTCTGTTGATACATCGTCGCACCACGCTGAAAGGTCCCCTGAAAATAAATAAGCAGTCATGTTAGTTCTGGGTTCCATCACAGTCCTCAATTCTGGATGTACAAATTAGTGTAGAGCATGATAGATAGATAAGACTTTATTAATCCCGTAGGGAAATTGATGTGTTACAGCAGTCCAACCCAAGACAAGCAAAAACAGACACCAGAATAGTCATAAAACAAAAGACAACAAAATAAATATAAAATAAATAAAAAATAAATACATAGGTGTGTGCAAAATGTGATGAGGGTAGCAGGGTGGCACTGTGGTCAGGGATTTGGGACTTGTGACTAGAACGTTGTGGATTTAAATCCCAGGTGGGACAGTGCTATTATACCCTTGAGCACTGTACTTCATCTGAACTGTTCCAGCAGGACACCCAGCTGTGTGAATGAGAGCAAATGTAAGTTGCTTTGGATAAAAGCATTAGCAAAATAAATTAGTAAGCAACACACACTGCTTAGAAGACAAATCAGCAGAACTTGAAAGAATGCTCTCAAGCCAATGCTCTATGCACCTAAATAATGGAACCGTTTCATCCTTGTTGTGGGAAAGTACAGAACTATTAACCAAGCTTCTGGTTGGTACTTTGCAATTCTGTCTTCTATATAACTATGCCTTGTTTCTCAAGTAATAATTATGTTGGGGACTTTGTTAGATTTGATAAACATTCTCATTACTTAGTGAAACAACCAGGTTTTGGAAGGATGCAAAATACCATAATGCAAAGCTCACAGCTTCCACAAAGCATTTCCCAAGTTGTATTAAAATCACTATTATTTATTAAAATTATGTTAAGGGCATTATCGTCTAAAACTCACTAGTAGATCTGCATCACACAAACTATTTTAACAAGTGTACCTAGAGATGGCAATAAAACCACAGCATTCCTCTTCTGAATGAGAAAAATAGCAAAACCATGTCATAGCAGGGCACAAGGACAAACTCATCAGATGCCAGGCTGTGGATAAAGGTGGTTACATACAGTACTTCAATGCAGGGTCATTTTTCGTGATATACAGGTATAAATCAGTCAAGAAAGTTGAGTAACAGCTAACATCTGCTACATAAATAACCTGGGGCTCAATAACAGGCCCAAGTAGGACCTTGTTATGGGCCTGTTGTCCTTTTTTTTCAGGCAAGGGAGGAAACTGAAGAGAGAGCAGGATACTCATGTAATCTTGTGTAAACTGCTTCCACACTGAAAAACTACGACCAGATTTGAAGCAGTCTGTCCTGTGAGGCTATAAGTGCTGCTGTGCTCAACTATGGAATCGTCTGTATTCATTGCCTTGTTAACCTTAGCTAACGCGGGCTGGTCCAGCTGTTGAGAGTCTAATTTTGTGTTTCCATTACACAGAGTACAGCACTTTATACCAAGCAGAAGTCTGCTAATTTTTTAAAGAACGTTTCAAACCTAGTTGCAAACTATTGCATTATACAGGCAACCACATGGCTGCGCAGTTCTCTTAGTTCTGAAACCCTAGGAATCATTCCGACGTTTTTATTATACTCCAGTCTCTGGTCATTTGCTGTCAGGACATTTTAATTCTTCATCAGGGATTCTGCAGGTGTGTCACAGCTAAACCACTACTGCACCATGGCTCTACTAAAAGTGCCTTTACTGCGTAACTGCATTGCTGTTATGTCTTTTACTTGCGGCTTACAGAAATATTGTAATCAAACAATTCACATCTTGCTGTTGGCGCCTTGTGTCGAGAGCTACAGTAATGTAGGAAAGGAGCTCTCAAGGTTTAAGAAATGGTGTTGACCACACTTTTATTCTTTAGTACTACAGGGAATAATTCAAAAGTATCCAGGGAGACCAAGACATTCCATATGCACTTTCATTTCATGAAAGGTCAGGACTGTGCAGAGCTCATCCATAACTACAATGAGTGTTGAAACAAAACAGAATTGTTCCAATTCCCAACCACATATTGGTCTAATGTATGCTGTATAAATATCACATGCTGCATGATAAACGCTGCACAAGGCAAATCACCCAACTCTACAGGATCTTCTTGGTGCAGAGACCCAAGCACAGGCCTCTTATCAGCTCCCCTCAATGCTATTCTGTATACAGTATCTTGCACTGTAATACAGTAGGTCTCTGAAAAAATTTTCCTAATGTCACAGGGTAGCAATTTCAAAAACATTCCACAGAAATAATTTGAAGGCAGAAAACCAAATGGCTTTGCTCACTCGGAATTGGTACAGTAGGTCACGCGGTCCTCGCTTTTTTGTAATTTTCATAATTGAGAGAAGACGACAAAGCAGATTAAGAAGAAAGCTGTTTATCCAAAGCCACTTGCAAAGACTCAAGAGTGAAATGTGCCCCAGCCTCTACTGCTGCAGTCTAGCTTACAGCAGGACTTTAGATTAACAAGCCATCAGGAAACAAAGTACATTATTCAGTCAACTGGACCCCAACGAACAAGAGGCACTTTACCTGCCAAAACACACCACCATTCCCAGCCACAACTCCGTCTGGGTGAATACATGGATCAGGTCTCATTTTAGATCCCCCCTCCCCCCAAAAAAATTTCATTTTTATTTCCCACTGTGCTTTTCAATCCAACGGTCACTACACCACAACGTGCTCACAACTTTCAAAAAGCTCCCTCCTGTGGCGAGGAAGAGGAGTGTAAGCAGCGCACACACCATTTCCACATCTCTGCAACGACAACGGGCCTGTTTTCAAGTGCAGCACCTGATTTGCTATCTTCTATATATCATGAACACAATAAACCTTGAACATCCTTCAATCTGAATTTGTGCTCATGTGGGAGCCTACTTTAAATCAAATCTTTTTTTTACATGTTAAACTGCCTATCTTAGGCCTTTTCACAGAAATGTACTGATTATCAGATAGCTTAAGAAACAGAAAATAGACTTAACATCTTTTCTTCCCCACACAAGCATCAGCTGCAGGCCAATGGTGGAAACATTAATCACTAAAATCGGAGGTTCTGACAGATTTGTTCCGTTACGCCTGCTCTATTACAGAAGACTGAAGAAAGGTCCTGACATGGTTTTAGGGTAAAGTTAAAAAAAACTGCTACTACTGAGACACCCTTCCTGGAGACAATCTAATGGCAAAATCTATTGTAAATGGGTTACAGCTCGTGACCTTATCTTAAGAAACAGAACTAATTAGATTTAATTGGCAGTTGTTCTGCTGTATCGATTGACGTTGATATCCACATTCACACAACCCTTAAGGTGCCGTCTCTTACAAGCAAATCCAAACTATTCTCTCACCTTCACATGGCAAGTGGGCACAAGCATTGCTCCCTTACCCAGTCGTCTTCCAGCAGGTCAGCTGGGATAAAGTGGGGTTTTGCCTTTGTTGATCCACAGACCCAATAAAACCCCACTAGAACAGATTTTATTCATGTAGCTGAAATTAGCAGTTGTCTTTGTTCCGTTATTGCACTTTATAAAAACATTAAAAAAAAATCAAAACACATCTCAGATTTTAACTATAAAAGGTAGTGCCATTTAGAAGACACTGCTTCTCTTGTAATAAAGCTGTGGTAGCGATATAACCAGCTGAGTTATATTACCTCTAAAAAGATTTTCAGCACCTTAAAAAGAACATTCAGTTCTTCAGAAGAGAGATGTAGCACGGGGAGTGCTTTCATAAACATGCTAATTATCAACCTATCCCATTAATGCAGTTCAGAGAGCAGTTCTCTTTATCAAACACAACCTGCCTGTACAGATGGTCGCAGCCTAAAGCAGATTACTGCACGAGTGGCGAGGGGGTGCTGTACGCTGCCCAGTATGGCCATGGACCTGCGCTGTGTGCCAACTGACTTGCCCACTCACATTCTCCTGGGCTAGGATTCGTTTAGGGAGAAGCCCCAGACAAAGACCCCCCCACACACAGTTACAAGAGCTTCAGCCACACTACCACAGGTGTCACAAACCGCAATGGGAGGTGGACTTTTGTCTGAAGGAGCTACCATATTCAGAGGACAGGGTAGCCTAAACACAGTAAGAACACTATTTTAAAAGAAACCAACTTTGGCTTTCCTTTCTTCCTAAGTAAACACGTAAAGTGAAAATTTTCTCTGGGCTTACCACAAGATAATCGCACTATGACAAAAAAGACAATCCTGAGGCCTGCTGGTACACACACAAAAAAGGGGGGATCATGTAGACATGGGACTGCTAACTAAAGAGTTCTAGGAAGCAATTTCTTTAGTCTTCTTTCTTGAAAAACAAAACAGGTGTCTAGTGTCTTGTCTAGTACTTTAAGGTTCTTCATTTGAAGAAACAAGGTACAAGAAGTGCTCTTTGTGTTCCAGTTTTAATTCTTTTAAAACTCAGACATTTTGTCTTAGTCTTAATATCAACTGTATTTGGTCACAATGTAATACTGTGCGATGCCAACGTTAATGAACAAACAGCAATAGTCAACCTACTAAGTTCGGTCAATCTTTATCCTTCTCATCTTTAATAATCTCATAAACCTTATTCTTCATTAAGCCACTGTCAATATTACAAGACTGTCTTTAGGACCAATTGTAACCAAGCATTAAACTGCCTAAACCTGAAGTGTCCCCTCTGGAGCCCTTTTTACAAAATTGACAATAGCCCGTGCTCCATGTGAACGGCTGCATTTTCAAAAGCTATAGAAAAAAGGGTGGCAATAATGCTGACTAAGGACTAATCAGTCCCACCTGCTTTTAATCTTTCAGAATCAGTAAATCCATTTCAATCAGAGAGAGCTCGCTCGCTCTCATTGAAGCCCCAGTCTGTGCCTCACTGTTTGAGTCAGCAGTTAAACCCAATCACTTCCACACTCCTGCAACATCTTTGCCTTTTCAGTACATAACAAAAGCCTCGCGAGCCCCTCGCTCGAGCTCCTCCAGCTCAAAAAGATTAACTGTCTACAGCGGCCATCAGCTTCAACATTCCTGCAACCTCACCAGTCCTGGAACACTTCATCACAAAGCCAGCACTGGGCACAGCACCTCTAACAGCCACC